AGAGCCTTACTGTTTGCAACGGGATACGAGGTAAGCAAGTTCGATTTTGTTTTTGTTGAACTAACGGATTCGATACTTGATCTCTTATGTCAAATAAAAAAAAAAATCACCGAGATTTAAATGCAAATCGGCTTGGGAGTTTATTGTTGTGCCCTGGACGGAGGAGCTTGACAACTGTCTATTATCGCGTCTTGTGTTAATATATCGCATATTTTATGCACAGACGGGGATGGTCGCTTGTTACCCAAGTCGGCTGCTCCCGGGTCTGTGGAAACTTACTTCACACATTACCAGTGCGCAGAATACTCTCCGCTGTGCCTTCTCTTCAAACAGCCTGTAGCTCTTGTACACAGTAACCTTGAGGTGTTTTTCGTAAGAGCAGTCTTCAGCCTTTTGGAGGCTAATTAATACTAAAACACCTATTAAAGAATTCATTTTCTCATTTTAGTAGAAAAAGTAGTATACTTTTAGTTTTGTTTGGGGGGAAGAATCAAAGTATAGGTGATAAACTGGGTCGCCTGTGAACTTCGTCATGACAGCTAGAAATCCAGTCTCAAAGAACACAGGAACGTTAAACGGTCAGACGTCTAACGTAACTAACGTTTACCATTTATAATATCGCGTATTTTCATATACAGATTATTTATGCTTACGTCTGAGATATACGTTATTATTGGTGTCAGTATAGAACGACGCTGTCCTCCATGTAATAAAGTCGTCTTCAGCTTCGGCTGCCGTCAGACTGTCCCGAACCTCTGTTCTCTGTCTGTTTTGAATTCCCTCCCGGTGCAAACTCGCCCCTGTGGCGCTGAGACTGAGACTGCAGGCTCGCCGGAACCGGAGCCCGGGTGCACCAGCGGTGTTCGGGGCTCTTCGCGGAAAAAAGTTGAGTTGAGGAGTGAAGACCAGCGCTAATTAAAAGCCTGACTAACACAGATCCTGTGGTGGCGCACTGCCCAACACCTTCCTCACGGAGGCGAGGAACCCGCGGTGCTGATAGAACAGATCACGATTCAACAGCAGCAGTCACGCCAGGGACACTACGTGTCAGGAGAAGACAAGGCACTTCGGACTGGAGAAATGGGACTGCAGTGTGACCATCGGAACTCCATGTCCCGATAATAACAGAGCAAAGGATAGCTGGCTGTGTGGTAGCACCACCTCCCTGTTCTTGTAGAGAACATCTGCCGTCCCTCCCTCGTCTTCGTCACCCGCTCCACCGCCCCTCCTCACTGACACACTCAGTTTAAGCCCGGTTTGTGATTTAAAAAAAAGAAAGGTTCGTTTGTCGCAAATCCACAAAAGAAAAGTCGTTTTACAGGGTAGCATACCGGGGCTGCCCCGGCGGGTCTGGCTGAGATTAGACCGAGACACGGCGGCCGGCGGCCGGACTCGGGGGCCAGTGCCGACGGGGAAAGTGCAGGTGTGCTCTTCACCGGTGTGCTGTTTCCTCAGGCATGCGGGGAGCAGCTGCAGTCGGTACCGGCGCCGCGGGGCCGCGCAGGCAGGTAAGCAGACCGCTCCACCGGAGAGAGCTACCCGTCAGTAAACCGAATAAGTGCTCTATACTCCGGAGAGAACACCCGTTAGCTCTGTCTGTTCACGGTGCGTCCTTACCCCTACCGACCTGTCCCTTTACTGTCGCAATAAAACCAGGTTTATTCATAATCGCTGTTTACTGCCAGCAATGTCACTCGTGCAAGGGTGAAGTAAATAAGCAAAACAGTCTGGTGTCTTCAGCCCTCTGTGTGATCCACCAGCAGGACCTTCACAAAAAAACAGCACATCATGTGGCTTTCGTTAGACGGGCAGTCCTCCAGGCGCCTGTAGTGTTGCAAGAGCTGGTGAGCTGGTGAGCTGGGGACTTGCCTGCCTCTCAGGGGGCCTGACCTGTGCTCCAGCTGTGTTTTGGTGGTGGTGGGGATCTCTGGAATTTGTTTTGAATACAGAAAGGCAAAGTGCAGGAGGAAAAGAAGAGAGGGCTTCATGCAGGTGTTGGAGAGCCTGACATTGAGCTGATGCTGTTTCACACAGACCTCAGCACCACAGAGAGATAGAGAGAGAGACCGCTCCTCAACACACACAGACCCCAGCACCACAGAGAGATAGAGAGAGAGAGAGACAGCTCCTCAACACACACAGACCTCAACACTGAGAGACAGCACCTCAACACAGAGAGAGACAGCTCCTCAACACACACAGACCTCAACACAGAGAGACAGCACCTCAACACAGAGAGAGACAGCAC